GAAACAGCCGGTCGACGTCGCATTTTTTGTCGATCGTCACGTATGATCAGACAAAATCGAGTAAATACGTAAGCAACAGACGATTGACCGCGCATTATTTGTCGATCGACACTAAGGAATTTGTATTACGTGTAGGTAGGTAGTAGGTCTACAAATTTGTTAGATTTTAATCCTCATATATAAATGTGAGACGATCGCTTATTGGTGGCATCGATAAAATCGAGCAAATCTGTTAGCTAACAAATCTTATTGATGGTCAAAACACAGCGCATCGAGCGTCAATAACGATGTCAAAAATTTAGAAAATCTGTAGGCACCTTAACGTTTCCTGTTCCCTTTAATCCAGAACAAAGTAGTAGTGCAGTGGTAACCGCCCATGGGCAGGTGCATGCACCAGACCATGCCCCTCACAGAAAACCATGCGCCACAAAATAATGGACACAGTTTACCAGTCTAATCATATCATACATGCATGATGACTAAATGATGTCATCAAGGAACGCCAAATGATATCATTATCAGATTTTAACATTGTTTGTTTTACAAGATAACGGCGAATTACATAAGAGCTAAGCCTTTTTAATGAAAATGTTCTAGATTTAAATAAGAGTTTTTTACGTAGGAAATTCATAATGATTGTGATAATATTGGAGTGATTGTAATCGTAGAGCACTAGAGCTGGAGGGAAGTACTGCCACCAGTCTATTTCTGCCGCCAAACAGCAATGTTAAGCATTACTGCGTTCCGATTTTAAAGAGTAAGGGTGATTTTGCAGGCACATGGAACTTGTCAACTTTATGTCCCAAAGTGACAATGACCTTTGCGATTTAAAGCTCTGAGTGGCACTGCAACGGTTAAGGGTAGGCAACTTGTTTACCACCAGGTGAACGATTTGTTCATTCCATCACTTGATATCATAAAAAAAGATCGTAAAAATTCTATTGTCAATCAACAAAGGCAGGCGTTAAGTAGTTACTAGATAAGAAGATCAAAATCTTACTGTGTTTTGGATCATTGTCGTACCTTCAAGCACCTTGCAACTTATGTTCCAATCAATACAGAGCACTAAAAAAACCGACCTCAAAAGCCATTCGTCCCCTAGTTTGACACCCTTAGAGGTGGAATATTTTCTTCAAATTTAAATGGGACCTTATTTGAGGTACCTTCTTTCAAACAAAAAAGAATCATCAAAATCGGTTTACAAATTTTATCCGGAGTTATCACGTAACATACATCAAAGAAAAAAACATGCGGTCGAATTGGGAATCTGCTCCTTTTTTTGAAGTCTGTTAAAAAGGAAGAAACGTTGATCTATACCTTCGAGAATATGCAGAATTTCGCCGTGACAAAAACAGATTAAGTCAGAGGCGAAGAAGTCTCTGTTAAAACTTAATAGCCTTAATAGAATTCCAAACAAATTACCCTAGTCAGCTTCATGACGGCTAAATCGCGTTAGGGCTGGGATAACATAAAAATGTGCTAAGACGCGTCTCCCTCATACTTTCGAATACCAATGCAATATACGCTTCTATGATAAAATTTAGACTCGATCTTAAGATATATGAAATAAATATTGTAAATGATAAATTTGTACAAATGTTTATAGACAAAGAGCAACCTCTAGAGTTCCTTATTAATTTTTCTCAGGGGAATCTGCCTTACGAATGAGTAGTACAGTTTATTAATGTGACGACTTCAAGTGGTCACCTTGGATTCAATTGACGACCGTGTCAAGAGGCTTATTGGTGACTCGGAATTAGTGGAGGCGAAGCTGCAGAACCTTGAACACCGCCGTAAAGTTGCCTGTTTATCGGTATTTTACAAGGTATATCACGGAGAGTGTGCGATGGAATTACACGATTTAATTCCGCCTTCCCCTTTCCATCACCGCGGGACTAGGCGTAGGCTTGGGTTCCACCCCTATATATGTTGTGGATATTACAAAGATTCGCACGAAGCGTTACGCTTCCACTTTTATTATAGCGAACGGCTATGGAGTGGGATTCCCTGCCTGCAGACTTGTTCTTTGAATGTTATAACTTGAGCCTTTTCAAGGCGAGAGGCGAGTTTTTTAATGATAAATGAAATTTACTTGCCTATGAAATGAAGGTTATTTAGGTTTGAGTTTAATCCAAGCCTTATTTTTCGTGAGGTCAGCTGAGTTACCACAGCCAACAACAGTTCATCATTTCGTTATTTTCGTTTGACATAGTTAGTTTTTTTTATTAATTCGTTAGCCTATACGTAAGTCCGACTGCTGGGCACAGGCTTCCTCTCACAATGAGAGGGCTTGGGATATAGTTCTCACGCCTGCCCATTGCGGGTTGGGAACTTCACACACATCATTAAATAGCTTGCAGACGTGCACAGATTTCCTCACAATGTTTTCCTTCACCGACAAACTTCACTTTCAAATTCAGTTTCACACAATACATTCCGAAAAACTCAGAGGTGCAAATCCGGAGTCGAACCCACGATCCTCTGTTTGAGAGGCGGTAGGTCAAACCATTAGGCTACCATGACTGTTTGACATAGGCCTGCTCCAAAATCGCCACGACCGGTTTAGCTCGCGTCCAGCAAATTCCCGGAATTTTCACTATGCTATTACTAATTCCCCTAAAAATGTAACGTACTTTGCGGCTCTGCGACGTATTTTTCATTATACAATACTACTACTTTTAATATATATAATATATGTAGCAGTAAAGCTCCTTGTGAGAGTTCGTCCAGCTAAGTACTGCCGCCACCTTGCTTACATACTTACTCACTTACTCACTCACTCACTCACTCACTCACTCACTCACTCACTTCTGTCGCCAAGCAGTAATGTCAGCGTTACTGTGTTCCTGTTTTGTCAACTTATGTATGTGTCTCAGGGTGACGGACGCAGTGGCAGTGCCCCTCAGATCTTTGCGATTTAAAGCTCTGAGTGGCATTGTAACTGTTATGGACAGGCGTGTAGCTTACTATCAGGCGCATGACTTGTTCGTCTCGTCACTTGATATTATATAAAAAAGAATAAATATGTTTTATAATAAAAGTGGAGCGAGACTTGATTATAGTGTATCTAGAACGCAGTAATATAACATGGAACGTTTTGTACATATCATTTTAATCTTTTGATAAGATGTTGTTCTAGAATTGGCAAGTAATAATGTGTAAGTAGTAATAAAATTAGTCATTCAAAAACATCTGCAGATCTAGTTTTTGTAGCAAGCAACAATTCGCACTCTTGGCTTAACAAGGCCACATTATGCAAAATGACAACTTTTCAGGATAGAGGTCTAACGGTCGTATTCCAGAACTCTACTCAATGCTCAAGTTAGTACTTGAGTATGATTTTTCAAGCACTAGATATACGACCCTAATGGCAAGGACTTGAGTATGATTTCTAATGCTTAAAACACACAAGTCCTGACTTGAGCATTGAGTAGAGTTCTGGAATACGACCCTAAGATTCTACGAACGAAATTAGCCGAAAACTTCTATACTTAAATAGGAAAGTTTTAAAATTTCACATATTGTATAGTGAATACCTCGTATGTAATTTGTATGTAATTTTTCAAGACGTAGTAAACGCAATAATGTTTGTAGTTAGCATTTTAATTAGTTATAGTGTTATGGGGACGTTTGAACCAGCTAAGATTTCCTTTTTCATTGTAATAGTTGGATAAAAATGACTAAGACTGGCGAATTGCATTATTAAATTTGATGTGTCTTCTTGACGAATCCTACGTTGCGGATTGACATAATAATGTAATTAATTTAATTTTTAAAAGAATTTAATTATATTGTAATAACAAAATTTTCGTTGAACAATTGTTTGAGTAATTTACTTTTAGTTTAAAAGCCATATTACTTAGATAATGACTTTTTATCAGACTTTAATATCTCGTGCTTGAGCTTATAGGCTAAAAACAATTTTGTAATATAAAGTCGAAAGAAAAATCTCATTACATTACGTTACATAACAAAAAAATATTGAAATTATACCTCTTTCAGATACTACATTACTTGAATAATAGAATACAGTTTGTTTTATCTGACTGTCACTTGTTTTTACATTGTGGCGTCATTTTAGAAATTGCTTGTCTACATCACCGTGGATTTAACTAAAAATTTTCGTAGTATGATTTTCTACGACTTTGAAGTGTAATTCAACAGCTCAGCGGAGCTTCGCTCGGCTTCAAACTGCTTTTGGTGATAAAGCACCATGCAAGACGACTATTTATAGCTGGTTTGCAGAATTCAAACGCGGTCGTGTGAATCTCAGTAACAAATTTCGTATATAAATCGTAAATAGTCGCCCGTCCACTGCTGTGAACAACAAAAACATCGATGCTGTGCACCGTTTGTCTAAAACAGACAGGCATGTGACATACCATGAGATTCGGACATCTTTAGGCAGAGGCATGAGTCAAATACAATCAATACTACACAAACATTTGGGTGTGAAAAAGCTGTGTTCTCGGTGGATCCCACACAATGTGACTAATGTTCAAAAAACGGATCGCGTCACTTGGTGCAATGCCATGCTTACCAGATTCAACGAAGGGGCGTCAAATTTGGTGTGGGACATAGTAATAGGTGACGAAATATGGATTTATAGTTACCATCCGAAAACAAAGCAGCAATTGTCGGAATTTTATAAATTACATACACAACAGTAGATTGATATGATACTGCAGATTACACGTTAGCACACATTCTGTAGGATAGTTTCAAAGAATTGTAATTAAAGTCGGCAATTTAAATTTTTTTGAATCGTATATTCGACAGATTGTTCGTTGTTCTGATATTTTTCACGCATATTTTTGTAAGGATTTACATAACCTTAATGTTTTGTTGAATTTTGAAGTTCATTCATAAACAATGTAACGGGTCACACGTCAAGGCGGACCTGGAAGTCAAAGATTATTACTCTTTAAAATGAACAAAGCCGTCCTTTACATGCTTTTTAAGTCAATAGAAATGCTGATTTTATTTTGTTTGTTTACCAGACAATGTCCGCTGACACTGATGACACCAATGCTTCGCATTATCCTTGACGAAGTGCGAGTTGCAGCGAAGAAAACACCCAATGAATTTGGGTACAAATCTGACGAATCAGGTGAGTTGTTTTTTTTTGTAAAATTAAATAGAAATAATTATATTTATTTACTGTTACGGACGTCTAAGTCTGATCTGGCCGTTCAGGGCAAGAGACTGAATCTCGCGCACTGATTGGCCGGGAGCGCTTGTGGGTGGCGCGTTGATTAAGCCGGTACGATGTGGGAATCACCGTAGCGTTACTATAATAGGATTTTTTTAGATTCCATAATTTTTTTTAAGAAAGTTTAAAGCTTCAGTTTTAGAGCTTCAGTCTTAGATTAAGTTTAGACTATGAAACTTAATCTAAAACTGAAGCTCTCTAAGTAAGGCGTCCACTTATGAAAATCTATAAAACAACGGTGAAAAGATGAAGAACTTTTATTGAGAAAACCAGCAATAACCTAACTTAATTTTACCTATTTCTGTTCCCAAGCCGTAATGCGAGCATTATTGCGTTCTGGTTTTGAAGTGTTCAGACTGCTGGTGATATTACAGGCACATGGAACTTGTGAACTTATATATCTCACGGTGACGGGCGCAGTGGCAGTGCCCTACAGATCTTTGCGATTTAAAGCTCTCCACTACGTGTATATACTCCACTATCCGAATGATAACTACTTAGTCCCCCAAAATTTTGACTCCTTCACTGGCGGACACATGGAAAAATGACGAGTCCTTCGAGAGGACCTCAGAAGGTCAGGTGGACAATGCAAAAATGAATACGATTGTGAAGTACTTTCTCTCAAATAGCATGTCAAATTTTTGCGTCGTTATACTGCGAAAACCAATTATAAGGAATTTTACAGAAAACGACTAGAACATAAGAAAACGCGACATAATTGCTTATGTAAAATGCAAATATTTACATAGTTTCGGTAAAACATAAAATGTGGAATAGTCTGTTACAAATGAACGAGGATGACCATGGTATTTCGTATCTTGTTTCGTAATAGCCGTAAGTATTCGTTGTTGAAATTTCAATTACGTGTTTTTTTTTGTGTGAAATAATTGTTTGTCGTAGTATACTGGCGATATATAAGCACTGTCAGCAAAGTTGACGCTCTAAGGTGATGATCTTAAGGATTGTTTTTACGTGTAAGCAACGGCGCTCAGTAGCAGTGGGTGGGCCCACAGCTTGCTTGTTCTTGATAAATAATGGCGTTTAAATGCTAGAAAAAGTCCTGGTAGCCTAATATTTTGGCCTGCCGCCTCTCAAACCGATCGCGGGTTCGAATCCGGCTCTGACTTTTTCGGAATTGCAAAATTTAATTTGAAATTTACCATGAGCGTTTTGGTGAAGGGAAACACGGTGATGAAACCAGCACGTCGGAGAAGGATTCACAACTCTCGTGTGACTCGGTTACGTGTGAAGTCCCCAACCCACATTGGGCCAGCGTGGCGGACTATGGCCTCAACCCTCGCCCGGTAGGAGACTCGTGCCTAGCAGTGGGACGTGTAAGTGGGTTGATGATGATGATGAAATGCTAGATCGTATTTTTATTATAAACCAAGGGTTGTCACAAAAAAAAGTGTTAACGATGTAACAGGCTAGCTATGATCTTCGTTTGCAAACAAAATTGTTTTAGAATTGGAAAGGCTTCAAATTTGCTGATAGTATTACAACATACTACAATTTACCGCTGTTATATAGCTACATCCGGTAACTACTTATAAACGGTATTTACCTCAACCATTTTTCTTAAAAACTGCCGAACCTGGGGGTCTACTCTCGATCTCCGTCCGACATCCGTCCGAAACAATTACTGCCAATAAGCAATACTTGACCAAATGAAAACGCGTGATGCGAATGAAGCTTCATACTTGATACTTGTCTTTTAATTTTGTCGAATTATACTTATTTGACAGTAATTGTTTCGGACGGAGATCGAGAGTAGACCCCCTGAATATAGACATTATTCATCACCAATTTGATGTCGTCACCTGTGGTTACGGTGTGTTTAACGACCGTTCATAAAGTTATGACTGGTATTCTATGAATTTGTAGTCATAAATAGTACCGAAACATACGTCTTTAGATAATGCTATGTATAGTAAGGCACTCTCTAATCCGTAAGCAATCTTTAGCAACGATGATTCAATGTGATAGCTAGTAAACATTGGCACAATGAAATTTGGCGCGTACAACGCTTTGCGCAATGTGTTGTTACAATCACAAAGGTAAAGTGTCACCACACACGCGGAATTGGCTTGAGCCCATTGGAAAAAACTTGTCCGTGCAATAATTTGTTTAGATTATATATACTCCCAGACACATAATTCGAGCCGCCTTGTATTTTCAATATTAAATGCCCTTAGCTTAAACAATGCTTGATTGATCAAGAACTATTATGGAACTTTGAAACTGGTATACTAAACGTCATTTCCTTAAGTTCTTATTGAAAATTTGGATTTAAAAAACCGGAGAAAACTTTTTCGATGATAATTATATTTTTGTATTCTAGTCCTTTACGGGTAAAAGTGCAAGGTGGCATGTCCGAGAGTGTATATGTTTTATTGTGTTTATGTATGTAAAGTGTATGTAGATATATACATATGTCGGTCATATTTATATTATCATAATTTATATTTATACTTACGTTTAAGTTTTGAATTTATTGTACAGTAATTATGCCTACCTTCCACTTGTCCGACGTATCGCTATGGAGCTGTTCATTGAAATTGTCAACAGTATCCGTTGTTGTGAGACACTAACTTTTTTACCCGCTCACCTCAGGACCTGGCAGAGTCATCAGCGTTGTGGTTCGACTGAACTGCGGCATAATGCTGAGTCAGGCCCTTTTTGCTGTCACAATACACTCAACTCTACACCTGACACAATATAACACTCTAGACCATACCCGCAAACCTAGACTAGCTTTTTTCTTTATGATTACCATTGTACCTATGTCATGCCATGATTCAGGGAAAAAACGAGTTATCTATCTAACCACAAAGATTATCGCCTTGGAGATGAAAAAGATAAAGCGCTAGCAAGCATTTACTTATCGCATTTACACAGACATCTTCACTAGACTCTGACATCATAACCACGAAAAATTTTAGGAAAACTTCAATCGCGACTTGAATTCGCATTACCTACCTACCTAAAACTGACTGATTTTTTAGTCACCGCTCAGTCCGCAAAACCCGCTGTTAATGGAAGGCGAACAACTCGTTCATTTGACCCATCTCATTATCCGCCTAGCTCACTTCGCTTTGTAAGGCGAACAACTCGCTTATCCGACCCTTATCATTTCCCGCCTAGCTCACTTCGCTTAGCCTGCTGGCTATGGACAAAACTATTTTATACCTCTTCGCTCGGCTATTTTCCGCTCATTACCCTTTCGCAGCGGAAGACGGGTATTTGTCCCGTAGACTTTCTATCTTCACCACGGCTCGGTTTGGCTGGAAGAGAATAATAAAAGCCAAAAAGATGACAGTTTCCTTTCGATTGCCTCCGGATCGCCGTCGACGCGAAACGCATAACGTCTTTTTAGCTCTTATTTTCATGGACTCTTTTTTAGTTTTTTCTGACAGGCTTGACGCGATTCCGTGTCAATAAGTGCGGTGACACGCTTAGGTTGTGAAAGAATACGACGATACGACTGTGGGTAGCAATACTGCTGATTGAATACATAATATTTCTTCACACTTATGTGGATGTGTATCATGTTATGTTCCTATTTGGTATTATTTAGCATCTGTTGGCAACCTTGCCAATAATTTAAATTACGTCACATGTTTTCATAGAGTCCTGTGGTCCTGATGCAGTACCTGTAGAGGTTTTTGCCGAAATATTATATCACTAAGCAAAGTATAAGGGTTCTAATACGCTACCTACTAAGGGTTACATCCTATTTCGGTATAGCATTACACTGCTATTAAAAGTATACAGAAGTAGTAGAGCTTCTTGTGAAAGAGTTCGTCCAGGGAAGTAGGTAGAGGGGCACTGCCACGACGCCCGTCACCCTGAGACATGTGTTGACGAGTCCCATGGGCCTGTAATGTCACCAGCAGTCTGAACACTTCAAAACCAGAACGTAATAATGCTGACATTACTGCTTGGCGGCAGATATAGGTAAGGTGGCAGTACTTCCCCGGACGAACTCTTTCACAAGGAGCTCTACTGCTAGTAATTGGGACTTGTCAACTTATGTCACAGGATGACGATGTCGTGGCAGTGCCCCTAAGATCATTGCGATTTAACGCTCTGAGAGTGCTCTGCTATTGCTATGAACAGGCGTGTCGCTTACCACCAGCCACACGAATTGTTCGTCCCGTCATTAGGTATCATAAAAAAATATATACACCAAATATATGGCGGAAAAGGCACGAAAGTACGCTATAGAAGCTATACGCGAGCGCTACATTAGTATGTGTTATAGCTTTTGTAAGATGAGGAACAATATGATAAGAGGGCGATGTGTTACGAACGATAACGCAGTGACCGATAGAAATGGTAATAACTTCGATAGATTGGTCATTTGGAAAGAATGAATGGTTACAGAGAACTGGTACGTGCTATTAGCATTATGATCAAACTGGCATTCTACAGAATAATAATAATAACTTTATTGATAGCCATTACAAATACTACAGACATAATGCAGTAATAATTAGTTATTGATTGATTCCTGACCAGTCAGGCAACATCCAGACCTTACAAAAGGATTTAACCTGTGTTAGCAGATAGTACCGTTGCTGCCACGGTGGACAAGCATCAATCGAATTTTTATCAACAAATGGCTTACAAGTAAACTAAAAGGAACTCTGTAGTCCCAAAACCAGTACAATAAAACTGTTCATTTGGGACCCAGAAAAGAATAAAATATGAGAAAGATGTTCGAAGAGTGAGTATAGTTTAAAGAAGGCCTAAACTATGTTGGATAAATATGTTGTAGTGTGTATCAAGAAAGTGGAGAGTAAGTGTAGAGTGTGTTGTGAGTGCTACTGATTCAACAATCAGTGTATGTGTGTGAAATATCTGAGGGTGCGTTATAATTGTTGCTTTTGGATGCA